GACGGGAGGTCTTACGGAGCGTCGTGAGCCTCAGTCTCGTCCTCCGTCGCCTGAGACTCGTTTAGAGTCGTCTGAGTCGTGTCCAGAGTCGCCTGTCCGCGCTGTCCGCGTTGGTCGTGCTCCGCGTCAGCGTCCTCCTCCTGTCCTTGGCACTCACTATATGACTCTGCGTCCTTCCACTGCTCCACAGCGTGTCCCACTGCCGTCTCCACCAGCGTCCTCTCTTCCTGCTCTCGCTGACCCGGAGACTGACTCTCTTCGTGCTGCCAGTCCTACTGTCACGCGTCTCCTTGCCACTGTTGTCACTGACCCTTCCTTTGAGTCCTCTGCTGCGTCTGCTCTAGTCGCTGAGCTTGTTGACTTTGCTGCTGCCTGTCGTCTAGACTACGCCGCTAGCCTTGTTGCTGAGTCTGAGTCTGTCTGTCCTCTGTCTGTCGGGGGTGAGTGTGCTCTTGGCACGGACGTCCTTGAGGACAGACAGGAGGAGTTTGAGTGCTTTGCCGCTGCTTTACCTCATCTCGTGTCCATGCTGATTGCCTCTGAGGGAGACCCGGATGCACCAGACATCCCGACCCCACGCTCCTACGCAGAGGCGATGGAGGGTCCCTACTCCTCTCAGTGGCAGACAGCCATGGACGCAGAGATGGCTTCCTGGAAGTCCACAGGCACCTACGTCGACGAGGTTCCCCCACCTGGGGCGAACATCGTCAGTGGCATGTGGATTTTCAGGGTGAAGCGGCCGCCGGGTTCTCCGCGTGTCTTCAAGGCGCGTTACGTTGCACGAGGCTTCAGTCAGCGAGAGGGAGTTGACTTCTTCCAGACCTTCTCCCCGACCCCGAAGATGACCACTCTTCGGGTTCTGCTGCACGTTGGCGCTCAACGTGACTACGAGCTCCACTCTCTTGACTTCAGCACTGCTTTCCTACAGTGCAGCCTGCACGAGGAGATCTGGCTGCGCCGCCCACCTGGCTTCACTGGGTCGTTCCCTCCTGGTACCCAGTGGAGCCTCCGGCGGCCGGTCTACGGTCTCCGCCAGGCACCTCGTGAGTGGCACGACACACTGAGGACTACTCTTGCTGCTCTTGGCTTTGCTCCTTCTATTGCTGACCCGTCACTGTTTCTACGCACCGACACCACTCTGCCGCCGTTCTACGTTCTTGTTTACGTAGACGACTTGGTCTTTGCTACTGCTGACACTGAGGCACTCGCCCACGTGAAGTCGGAGCTGCAGAAGAGACACACGTGCACAGACCTGGGTGAACTGACAAGCTATCTTGGCTTGCGGATCACCCGGGACAGAGCACAGCGCACCATCACCTTGACTCAGTCACACATGGTGCAGCAGGTCCTTCAGCGCTTCCGCTTCACGTACTCCTCGCCTCAGTCCACTCCTCTGCCTACCGGTCACTCGCTCTCAGCTCTGCCTTCGGATGAGTCCGTAGAGCCGAGTGGCCCGTATCCAGAGCTTGTGGGCTGCCTCATGTACCTGATGACCTGCACTCGACCTGACCTGGCATACCCTCTTAGCATCCTAGCACGCTATGTCGCTCCCGGCCGTCACCGGAAGGAGCACATGGATGCCGCTAAGAGGGTGTTGCGCTACTTGTGCAGTACGTCGGGCATGGGGCTCGTGCTTGGAGGCCGGAGCGACGTTGTCCTCACTGGTCACTCAGACGCTTCTTGGGCTGACGACCAGGCTACACAGCGGTCGTCTCAGGGTTACACCTTCAGCCTTGGCTCTGGTTCAGTTACTTGGCGTTCTACTCGCTCTTCTTCTGTTCTCAGCTCCAGTTGTGAGGCTGAGATCTACGCCACAGCCATGGCTGCACAGGAGTTACGCTGGCTCACCTACCTGCTGACCGACGTGGGAGAGCCGCCTCGTTCTCCTCCAGTGCTGTACGTCGACAACAAGGCCGCCATTGCCTTGTGTGAGGAGCACAGACTGGAGCACATGACGAAGCACATCGCTCTGCGCTACTTCCTTGCTCGAGAGCTGCAGCAGCGTGGTCAGCTTCGTCTTGCGTACGTGGCCACTCGGGCCAACACTGCTGATGTGTTCTCCAAGGCGCTTCAGCCTTGTGATCATCAGCGTTTCTGTACTGTTCTAGGCCTTGTGCCTACTGTCCCTCACTTGCTCACTTCTTGACTCTGCTTGTACTGTGATCTCTATATATATACCTGCATGCTTACACTTGCTAGGTTGTGATCACTGTACCTCTTGTTATATTATCAAACTGCATGTGAACTGGTCTTGTGACCAGTTGCTTGTGCTCGGAATTTGTGTGGTTTCCTTGAGATCCACCCTGAGCTTGTTTTGCTTTGCTTTGCTTTGACTGGTCTTGTGACCCCTTGCTCTCCCCCACTTTGCCTATGGGGGTGTGTCAAACATTATACATGTTACTGCTGTGTAGGCTACAGTGGGTTAGCCTTTAGGGGGTACATTACTCTAGGGTTTCCTACTTGTACTCCCAACATTCCTAGTTCAACCATTCTCGTTCAGTTCTACATTCTAACAAAACTAACCAGGGGCGAATGTAAGGTCAGCTCTCAAAGGCACGGCGTGAAGCCAGTCCCCCGCCCCCACCCCTTGCAGGCTAATGAGGCGTATCGCATGCCCGCGGTGTGTGCCTGGGTGGTCTGTGATCGTGTCTGCTTGCAGCTCTGCAGCTCCTCTCTCGTTGATGTGGCGGGACAGGGCTAGCTATAGGTTACCTTGTTCTGCCGGTCTCTCCTTGAACGTCTGTAATGCAGTCCTCGCTGGTGCCGGCAGAGCCGCTTCAAGTGGGATCAACTCGTTGACCTCCGGTGGGGCGGGGCTCCAAGCATAGTCCAGTAGCGTGACCGCTCGGCTCAGCAGGTACCCCTCAGGCAAGTTCATCTGCCGTAGTAGGTGCTGTGCAGCTGTGATCGACGCGATGTAGGCTGCTGGTGCCTCCGAGGTAGGGTCGATGATGCCTAGCCCTCCTAGCCTAACCGGTAGGGTGCCTTGCAGCCAAAGCAGACTCTGTTCCAGCTCACTCACTGGGACCCGTAGTTTCGCCGCTGCAAATGTCGCTCCCATCAGAGATACACTCCATGACCTCCATTCCTCTCTCTCCAGCACCGCCGCGGGTGTAGTTCACAGCAGATAGGATATCCTGCGTGAGATGCTCCGGGAGAGCATTAGCATGGCGTGCTGGGGGTGAAGCTGGGCTATCAGGGGTAGCGGAGCGGATGCCTCTGTGAGTCGCGTCTGTGCCTGGTTGATGCAGAAGGCAGGTGAGCCGATGGGGCTCCCCAAAACTCCAATGCCGTTGGTGTTAATTGGCAGGCCATGTGGTGGTGGTATCTCGTTTCCTCCCCCTGTGCTCTGCTTCCATCCTGTGGACTTGGCAATGTTGCAGCGGACCTGTTTCCAACCGCGTCCCGGGGTCCCACGATGGTGATGTCATCGGCGTATGCAACGATCGCCACTTCGGGGAGGAGTGTTGCAGTGCTCTGGAGTGTTGGTTGGATCGCCGCCGCAAAGAGAAGCGGGCCCAGTGGATCTCCGTGACGGACTCCTCGGCTGCTCATGATCTGGTCGACTCCGAGCTTGTGGTCCAGTAGAAGACGGGACGGACCGTCGTACAGCGTGCGGACGAGGGGCAGAAGTGAAAGCAGGCTAGATTGCGATAGCTCTTGGAAAAACGCCGGTCGTTCGACGCTATTGAATGCATTCTCGATGTCAAGCTGTAGCGCCACGCGGGTCTCGTCCTCTCTAAGCAGCGCCCGGACTGAGTGTATGATGCACTCCGCGCCTCCAGTGACCCCTACACCAAACTGCACGGGAAGAAAGAAGTCGCGAATGTTCGGCGCTAATTCCTTCAGGGCTGCTTTTGCCACGATGCGGAGTAGCGCTTCTCCGATAGCAATAGGACGCACGCCGCCCCCCGGGTTTTCCAGGGCGATGAGTTTCGAAGGAAGCAGTAAGTTGCGCACGGCTTGGGTCTGGAAAGTGCTAAGGAGGTAGCTGACTGTTTTAGCGAGGAGTATGAGCACCTCCTCATTTGCGAGCGCAGGATCCTTAACATGCTCAAAACATATGCCCGAAGGCCCTGCTCCCACTCCATTCGGGCATCGCTTAAGTATTTCGCGGAGGTCGTCAGGGGTTATTCCCAGTGCTGAGTGGGTGTAGCGGGTAACACATATCGTGGAGGGCAGGGCCGCCTCAGGGTGTTTCGCCTGCAGTGCAGCGAGCGTCGCTGGTGTGGCTTCTGCGAGTGGGGTCATGCGTAACGCTGCAACTGCTTTCAAGATGTTACCCTTTCTCATCAATCCCTCCGCCCTAGCACAAAGTCCAGCGTCGTCTGCTTGGTGTCGTGTTGGGTTCTCCATGTCGGGGATGATTTTTGCCTCCTCGAAGAGTTCCCCCCATCTGCCTTGCTGGAATCGGTGCAGCCTGTCCTCAATCCCTGTCCATCGGCTTCCTTCCACTGGTTCAGGAAGAGGTCGTAGGGTCAGCCTCGGAAGGAATTGCAGGATGGCCCATGCCCCTGGGCAATCAGGAAGATTCGTGAGGCGCAGGAGTGGTGCTAGGACACAGAGGGTGTAGCTCTCCAAAATTTTGGGGGGCATTCTCCGAACCAAAATAGGTTGGTCGCCCCGCTGGAGTGGTGTAACTTCCCACGTGGCTGCCTGTTGCCAGATGGCGTTGTCTGCCGCCAGGTCGGCAGGTGACTGAACCTTCGGCTCTCCTGAGTCTCTTTGGCTCTCCCCCGCTACTACTCCGGTCTCTCTTCTCTCCTCAGGGTTTACCACTTGGTGGTTTCTCTGCTGGGGGTTTCTCTCACCCGTGCTGCGCCTCCTAGCTCTCCTTGCCGTGCCTCCTTCCTCCTCCAGTGAGATCTCTTCTGAGGCTTGTGATGCCTCAGCTACATATTCCTCCCCGTCATCGATGTTGTCAGATTCCTCTGCTTCCTGATTCGCCGGTGGCACATCTTGTTCTGGTCGTTCGTGGCGTTCCCGCCACGTCCCCAATCTCACAAGCGCCTCTCTTCCCCCGACGATTGCGCCTCCGCCCCGTCTTCCGCCTCTTCCCCCGCGCCCTCCGCCTCGGGCCCCGCGAGCCGTCTCGCCTCCTCCGGCCTGGATCTCGTTGATCCGCCCTCCGCCCCCAGCTTGTGGCGCTCTTCCCGCCGAGATCCACGGTGAGAGTGTCTGTCTGGTCCCACCTCCCCTTGGTTGGCCTCAGGTGATGCCCCGTGCGCGTGTTGTGCTCCGCGTTTCTCGCCGTGGCGCTTGCGGGGCCCCCGCTTCCGGTGCTATGCGTCCCGCCCTTATGTCCAAAGTTATTGCTTGCCTGACACTACTCTCCCCTTCGTTGTCCAATCCGTGGCTCCGCAGATGGCGGTTGATGCCCTTGCGATCGTGACGTCTGCTCTTGCCGAAGCCAACCCCGGAGGGGACCCGGGTCCCTATCGCAAGAGCAGACGTCATCCGGGTCCCAGCCCTGCTCTTGCGATAGCAGACCCTAAGCCAGGTCCCAGCCCTGCTCCAGGCCTTCTCGGCGCTGGCTGGGCCCGCATCTTCTGCCTCGATGTTGTCCGGGCATCGTCGGAGGCGACGCCGTTCGCGAAATGCGCTATCACCCTCCGCATGGCCATGCTCCCGCGTGCTTGCGGCCACGGCGGCAGCAGGAGTTCCGGCGCACGCAGCGGCAGGCGTCTCGGACACCTCCGCACCGACTGCAGCCACTGCCTCTGTCAATGCCCTCGGCGGCTGTGACTGCTCCGGCTCCTCCGCCTGTGACGGCTCCCCAACCGGTCCAAAACCAGGTCCAGATTCCTCTGCAGGCGGCGGGGGAGACGCGGTCATCGTCGCCTCCAGGGCCACAACTCCAACCCACACTCTTCCAGCCACAGCGTCGTCAGCAGCCCCAGCCTTGACCGCAGTGGCCGCGTCAAACCTCGCAGTCAGCTCATGAGCTTCCATTCCCACGCCTTCCTCAGTCTCCTCGGCAGCAGCAACCCCCACCGTAGGTGTCTCAGGACACCGATCCCGATCCCCCTGCCCCGTTGTCAGTGTTAACTCCGCCGACCTCCCCTCGTCGCGACCGCGTCGAGACGTGCGTTGGGCACGTGGAGACTTGCCTGTCCCTGCTGGCGATGGTCCTGGACCAACTGCATGTGTATCAGTCGCGTCTGTCGCGACCTGGAGATGTGCCTCCTCCAATGGCGCAGCAGGAACAGGAGGAGGCGGCCGCAGCAGCGATGCAGATGCTGCACATGCTGCCCTTGATCGGCCTGGTGCCGGGCACCCCTGGATCCGCGTTGGGGCCTGGCCCTGCCTCACTGAGGAGGCTTGCCCTTCCCGCACTGCAGGCACCACGCGACCTCGTGCCAGCTGCCGCGTCCGTGCTGCGCTGGATGGACGGGCGGCTTTCTTGGATTTTGGCTGAGTACTGGGCCCCTTCCCTTTGCCAGCCTCCTTGGTTCCCAGTCTGGATTTGGGCTTCCCCATGGCTTTAACTCCTCGCCTGGGGTTGTTGATGTTGTTGTAGGTCACCCTAATGCATGTTGTACCCCATATTGTATTTATATGTTCCCCCCTTCTCCCCTTGCCACCCCTGTTTTCTGAGAGTAAAGGAACTCAACAGAACAGAATGAGGGGGAAAGAAGGACTCCCAGGGCTTATATACTAGCTAGGAGGCGCTAAGAGAGGCTAAGAGAGGCTGAGAGGCTAAGGACTGGCTCCTAGTGCCTCTCTCTCTCTCTCTCAAGCAGTCCTTGATTGATAGGTTCACAGGGGTACAGGCATGGTAGGAATAGAGCTAGACAGGCCTAGGCATTGGAGCTACTAATCATGCAAGGCAGGAACGTGAAGCAAGCAGGACATCTGCACACAGACAAGCCGGTCAGGTGAGGCAGGGCAAGCAGACAAGGCAAGGCAAGGCAAACCAGCGAGACAGGGCACTGAAAGGCAAGGCCAAGCACGGCCAGGAGTGCAGGCAGGCAGGCCATTCAGGCCAATCATGCAGCAACCGAGCCATGGCTACATCCCTGGCCAACACCTACTCCTACCTACTGAGCCATCACAACATCCAGCTCATCCTCCAGCACTTGCCAGAGGTCCCCCAGGCTAGGTTCCCAAGGGTCCCTAGCAGCCTGGGGGAACGCTGCCTCATCAGAGAGGTTTGACTTGTTCAGATAGGATGTTGCCTGGGAGCGCTGCAGCATCACAGACCAGCGCTGCCGGTAGTGTGCAGTGAGCCGTGCAGTCGTCGTTGTCAACTTCCCCTGGCGGTACTTCTTCTTGGCCGCTGAGGTGGCCAGTAGCCGTAGGAACTCCTGTGTGTCCGAGGACAGGGCCCCATACGTCTCAACCGCGAGGCCAAAGAAGCCGACGTAGTCTGGCCGATCCTCATATTCCCTGTGCTTCCTAGCCGAGGCCTCCTCAGCCGCCCACCCCGGTGGTTTCCGTGCCCTGGTGTCGCGCTGCTGGAGCACAGGGTCAGTCACTGTCACGTCTGTAACCCAGGTCTCGTTTGTCTCTCTCTCTCTCTCTATCTCTCTCTCTCTCTCTCTCTCTCTCTCTCTCTCTCTCTCTCTCTCTCTCTCTCTCTCTCTCTCTCTCTCTCTCTCAAGTAGTCATGCATTGATAGTGGTCATAGGGTACAGACATGGCAGGGAGTGGTTGTAGCTAGTCTATCTATGCTTGTAGGGAACCCAGTATCCAAAGCTAACAAACAAGACAACATGCAAGCAAAGAAAAACTAGCAAGCAGAGCAGAGCCGGCAATGCAGGCCTATGAAGCATGCCTTGTGTGTGTAAAACCACAGTCCCTGAGCACTGAACAGACCGATCAACAGTAGCCACCCCCGTCCTTGAACGCCTCCCCATCCTACCGCAGTGCCCCTGCCCTCTCCTTGCCTCGTGCTCTCACCCTCCTTCCGTCACCCTCCTTTCTCTCTTTCCCCTCTAAGCCGCCCTGGCAGGGGCCTCCCGCTCCTCATACTCATCTGTTGTCATCTGCCACAGGTCCCCAAGCCGTGGTGCCCATGGGTCAGCCGCTGCCTGAGGGAAGGCCGCCTCTGCCGCACGGTTGGACTTGGACAGAAGTGATATGGCCTGGCTTCGCTGTAGCATCACCGACCATCTCTGGCGGTAGTGAGCATTGAGCCTGGCTGCTGTGGTGGTAAGGCGGCCCTGCCTGAACTTTGTCTTAGCGGCATTGGTGGCCAACATGCGGAGGAATTGAAGCGTGTCAGCAGCCATCGCGCCGTAGGTCTCAACTGCTAGCCCGAAGAAGCCGGCGTAGCTGGGCCGCCCCTCATACTCCCGGTGTTTCCTCTGGGAAGCTTCCTCTGCTGCTCACCCCGACAGCCTACGTGCCCTCGTGTCCCTGTTTTGCAGCACTGGATCAGTAACAGTGACGTCAGTCACCCATGTTTCGCCCGATTCCTGGTCCCGGATGGCCAGGTCCGCCCGTTTCCGAAGGACTGGGGGTGAGAAAGCGCAGGTCTCGTGGAACACCTTGAAGCCCGCCTCGTTCGCCATCCACAACGCCGCGTAGACAAGCGCGTTGTGGATTCTGACCGCATCCCCACCGTCCTGGCAGCGCAGCAGGTGGTTAGGCAGGCTCTTGTCCAGGATTGCAGAGTTGCTTCGCTTGCATGGGCAGACCTCGGCGACCGGGAGCTCCATGCACAGGCGGAGGCCTAGGGCTAACGAGAACTGACCAGGGGAGATGCTAAGGTCGGCTCTCGTCGGCACAGCATGGAGCCAATCTCCTGCTCCCGCCCCTTTCAAACTGATGAGTCGTATAGCGTGGCCCCTGTTGGTGCCCGGCCGGTCAACTACAGTGTTGCCTAAGAGGTCCACCGCCCTCTGTTGGTTGATGAGTTTAGAGAGGCGCAGCTGCAGGCTGCCTGTGCCCGTGTTCTCTGTTGTGAACTGGCCTAGCGCTGACTGTGCCAGGGCCGGGAGGCTTGCCTCCAAGGAGGTAAGGGGGTTGCTGTCCGGGGGCGGTGGGGACCACTCGTGGGAGAGCAGAGTTGTAGCGCGGTGGAGCAGGCAGTCCGTAGGTAGATTCAGCTGCAGCAGAAGGGAATGGGCGGCTGTGACCGATGCTATGTAGGCGGCAGGGGCCTCCGAGCATGGGTCTATGATGCCCAGGCCGCCCAGTCTGATCGGTAACGTTGCTTGCCGCCATAGGAGGCTCTGCTCCAGCTCCGACGTTGGGATGCGAAGCTTTGCCGCCGTGAGTGCTGATCCCACCAAGCCTTCACTCCACTCCCTCCACTCCCTCCTACTTAGAGTCGATGCCGGTGTCGTCCGCAGTAGGTATGAGATCCGACGGGATATGCTGCGTGATAGGATCAGTAGCGCGTGCTGCGGGTTCAGCCGGGCGATGAGCGGGAGCGGGGTAACCGCGTCCTCCAGCGTAGCTCTGACTTGGCCTGTGCAGTAGTCATCGTGTCCGATAGGGCTGCCTAGCACCTTTATACCACCAGGGCTGGCAACCAAACCGTCCGGCAGCTCGGCGTTGGCTTCACCATAGGATTGGGCCCATGCAGATGATTTAGCGATGTTGCAGCGCAACCCCAGCTCCGCCAGCTTGCTCGTGATCGTACGGAAGGCCAGACAGGCGGATTCCAGTGGGCCGACCACGGTGATGTCGTCAGCATAAGCCGTGATTGCAACTTCCGGCACGGATGAGGCGACACTGAGGAGTGTAGGCTGAATAGCCGTTGCAAAAAGAAGCGGTCCGAGAGGATCGCCTTGTCGCACGCCCCTGGAGCTCAGGATGTGGTCGGTGCCAAGTCGTGGGTCAACTAGCAGGCGAGACGGCCCATCATAGAGGTTGCGGACTAGAGGGAGAAGCGGGCTAAGGCTAGACCATTGCAGAGCTCCTAGGAATGCCGGCCGTTCCACACTGTTAAAAGCATTCTCCACGTCCAGCTGGAGTGCTTGTTGGTGCAACCCTACGGTTTGCACTCGGCTTGTTGTCCGTGTGCGTGCATGCGTGTGTGCATGGAATGGAATGAGTGCATGAAATAAATATATATTTCATGCTTATAATAGTGTGTGAATGATGGGTCATGATGTCGAGTGTGTGTGTCAAGTCAATAGCGAATTATCGCTAGTCGCGTGTAACGTGGTCGTTTTGTGTGTCCCGCGTGGTTTCTATATTGTCGTGCGCGGTTTCTATTTTGTCGCTTGTCGAACGTTCGGCGTGTCGCAGGTGTGTGCAGCAGACCCATCAAGAACTCAAGGATGATTTTGTGATGAAGAACCCGAGCCCCTGGTGTCAACATTCAAGTGATCGCGAAGCTCGCCAAAAGGGTACACCTCAAGATATTGAAGATAGTTACATTACTTTGTGTAGTGTAACATTTCAGTTGGTGTAGGCCCTTGTGAAGGGTAGTTTCGAGACCCTTCTTGGTTGGGGACAGTGTGGCACTGTTCCACATCACTGTACCTCGGCTCTTGGGGTTTGTAGGAGCTGGGAGTCATTCCCAACTCGTAACTCTTCCTAACTCTTCCTATTGTGTGTTCTAAGACTATAGTGGCTGCCATAGTGCCGTTCGTTCAAACCGACACTGTGTCGTCAATACTTGGTGAAATCGTGCGATCTAAATTGTCTATTGTAGGCGACGTTAAGGCGCTCCAGATCCAATTGAATCAGGTAATTTGAAGTTGTGACCAGAACGCTATGAACGTTTGAAGCCGTTGTGCAGAAATCCGACTGTGCACTCTATCTTTCGTTTTAGGCACATTGGAGCCTATTGTGACTATAACAAGTGGTATCAGAGCCCCTTGGAGCAGTTTTGACAATGGCTAGACCTGAGGAAAGGGGTGGCAGAGGTGCTGGTGGCAATGGAGATGCCCAAGCACAAGGCCAAGCCCGTGAGTCAGCCGTGGCGCCCGTGCAACCGACTCTTGGACCTTCTAGGGACGAACCAAGAGTGTTCGGGCTTGACAAGTTCAACG